TATGAAAGTATTCCAAGCCTGTGTCTCTTGCAGTAAGATCTCCATTGTTCTGCTGTAATCAGAGATTTGACAATTGTTAGGCCTCAGGTGGCCATCACTTCATTGTGCTGAGGTCACCTGGTTTTCTAGGCCTGGCTAGCATGTTTACCTGGAAAAGGGATTGTGTGTGTGCAGCCTTTTTCTCATTTCCTCACTGTATGAGAAGCAGCATCACTGAATTTGGTTCCCTAGTTCTCATCTGTCTCTTCAAAACAGACAATCTCAGAGTGCTCAAGAGGAGAGGCAGTTTCTCAGCTGCTTAGTTTTTTGTGTCTCCATATTTTGCAACCACTTACTTTGAAAGCACTTTTAGTTTCTTTAGGGCTTTTAGATGTCCTCAGGCTGTGTGGGACCTGTGCTCTCTACCTCCAGCAGTGGTCGCTGAGCCCCACCCAGCACTCTGGACTGTGCCTGGCTGTTAACCTTGCTGGGTAAACATAGCTACAAGATGAGGAGGTTGCCAGGAGGATTTAGGTTTTGTCTCCTCTTGAATAATTTTGCCACTTTTAGTCTAGTACAGAGTTAATGTCTCTACTTTTCTGTTTTGGAAAACTGACTGTGTTTGTTTGATATGAGAGAGAACCCCGCTGTCTGATGTTCAGAAGTGCATATCTGTAAGATGGCCTTTTCCTATGGGGTGGTCACAATATCTTTCAGGTATGATTTTTCTGAGAATATCAGAAATTCAAGATACCATTTTTCCTTTCTTCAGGTTTCTTTGTCTAATTGATTATTATGAATCTCAAATTAGTCAAATGAAAAAGGAGCTAAGGTAGGTCTCATCTAATGCCTTATGGTTCTACTGTTCAATATTTTATTACTCCTTACTGTTCTTAAATCTTATAACAGTAAATACTCTGTGTTCCAGACATCGCTAGCATGTAAGAAACAGCAAAGGATTGCAATGGTCTGGGAAGTTTGGATTCGTCTGAGGAGTAACAGTCAGGCTAAGCAGCTGCTCAGTCAGGAGGCCAGGACAGCTAGGAAGTTGGGAGTATTTAGACACTTGAGCTATAATTCTTTCTTTTTTCCCTTCCTCTTTTGCCATGGTTCGCAGGCAGAATTACTGCATTAGCAGAGTGGCGGCTCTTAGGGCAGAATCTATCTATTTTGCAGTTTATGGAAACGTTATTATCATACATAACTGCTAACTAAGCCAACTTAAATCTTTGATGTAATTGAATTACAGTAAGCTGAAACAATTTTTTTTTCCCAATAGGCAATATAAAAAAGATGAAGATCAGGCTCAGAAAGAAGTAAAAAGCAAGGAAGAATTCTTAAATCTAGATGCTACTCCTAATTATAGAGCACTGCTCACGGTATGGAACTGCTAAGGGTCTCTAAACGGTAACCCTTCAAGAGCCACACAGAAACATATATGTGTTTGATTTCTATCCCCTTGTTCTGATCACGTCTTCAGAATTTGTAAACTCTCTGGGCAGGGTTTGCTGTCTTTATGCAAAGATTCAGTACTATGTTGTAAGTTGTCTTTGCTGGGGACTGAATAGACCTCCTTAACCACAGGTTCTCCACCTGTGGTCTCATGCAGCAGGCTCTTAATCCTAAATTGACTAATTCTTCATCCATGCTGTCTTGCTATATAGGCAAGTGGGAAGCCTTCTTAACACATATGTACTTTGAATTCTTCAACCTCATTGATTATGGAATGAGTGAAATAAAAGAAATAACACATTCTATGTTACAGTCTTTCCAGAAACAACTTATTGAAACAAAAGCAAGGAATGAACAGCTTTTGCTTGAAAATATAAATCTCAAGAAAGATTTGGAAATAAGGTGAGAGAGCAAGAGCACTTTGCAAGAGCGCTTCAGTAGACTTTGCTTTACAAAGAAAGAAACTGAAAGCACCAGCAATTTGAATGTAGTATGAAATCTGCCTTTAAAAGTTATTCATAGAACTAAGATATGGCAGCAGCAGTGAGCCTTGCCTCCCTATGCTGTCATAACTGCTGATGGTTATTTTGCTGTTTATTGCTGTCGCCACGTAGAAATGTTGCAGAATTTAATTTCCAGAATGATGTTGCAGCACTAGCAAAGCTTTCTTACTTTTTTGCTTGGCTGAGTTTTATAGACACCCTCAAATGCAAGACATATAATATGGTACTTTTTAACAGACCAACTGCACAGGAGTTAAAACTTTACAAGCACCAAGTGAAGAAACTAGAGAAAACTTTAAAGAAAACTATCCAGTAAGTATATTTCTTCAGTAACTTTCATGAATCCTCTGAACTACTTAAGGCAAAGATCCTCTACAACCTGTAATGTAGACAGTAGCTTACTACTACTACTTTAAAAATGTTCGGTTCTTCATTTTACATCATGTGTATTTAAATCGTCTTTTCTCTCATGCAGTGAGCGTGATTTAAATGGTAGTTTTAGAGAAAGTCATCTTAAATTTGATGAGAAGGGTAGCAAGCTATAGATAGTAAAACAGGAAAGATGTTCAAGCAGAAGCAGATAAAGACTGTGAGCACAGAATTTGACCCTTTTGAGTAAAATTTTGGATTTTAAGTCTTCAGTCATAGTAGAACCTCTGGCAGCAGAACAGTTGTACATCTGGTAGTGTCCCTTCTAACCTGGAGACTTAAGATAATATTACTGATATTTACATTAGGTATTATATTCTTCAGCTAGTTCAGTTTGGTGGAATTCTATTTATTGGCAGGCATCATAAAAAGGACATTTTACTTTGTAGGTGTAAGTGTACGTGCTACGTACCTGCTTCTTTAAGCAAGGTGAAAGTAGTACCTCCTGCTAAGGGACTTGTGTAACCCACTGTATGTATTTGGTGCGTAGATCTTCAGGGACTAGTACCGCAGAAAGAATAGAAGAAAAGAAAGAACCTGAGAGTATCACAGGAGTAGATCAGCTGCAGGCACTTTGCCAGCAATACTTACAGGTACGCAAATTTTATCGGTACTGTGTGTATCTAGCACTGTTACAATGAAATTTAAGACATGGGTTTTGTTTAACTATGTACACTGAAGGATGCTGTTTTGAATCTGAGAGTTCATGTGAAGTCCTCTACACAAGATGTGTAATGTTCTGGATTTGGCAGTTAATGTAGGCTTGTTCTTAATTGTTCAATCTTAGTGTAAACTACCTGAAAATTCAGCAAGGAAGCAGAGACTAGGCCAGCAATATGAAATCAATGATTTCTCTGAACTCTTTCAGGACAGGTAATTTGTTCAAGGTCTTGGGCAAAACAGATAAAAGCAATGATTTCTCTGAAGTCTTTCAGGACAGGGAATTTGTTCAAGGTCTTGGGCAAAACAGATCCTAATGTTATGGTTTTAAACATGCCTGAGGAGATAGCTTTTATTTTTCTTTGAATAAAAAAAAAGCAAATATAATAAAACTTAGCAAAGTGTAAATTGTGGAAGAAACAATGCTTCAAATGGATAAATATGAAATATCCCTCAAAGGGAACTATATTTGCATTACTTTTACATATCTTCTAGCTAGTATATTTTAAAATCTTTTAGTCTATTACATATTGAATACATCTATAAAATTCATTAATAGTAACTTATTGGAGCTTTTTATGATTTAATGTTTAGACAGGACTGTGATGGAGAGGGATTTTGTTATAAAATGTCATACATATTTCATAGAATCATAGAATCATTAAGGTTGGAAAAGACCTTGTGCAATAACGTTTGGTTTTTGGTGTTGAAGGTTTTGTCCCGTATTGATTCTATTTTGCGAAGTCCGAGAGCTCCTCCACTAATATACAGGCGCAGCAAAGGGCCAGTGCAAAATCATATTAAGGAGAATGGACAGGAATGTGGATTTGAGCACCTTCCGCTCACTATAGAAATGTGGGCAGATCAGCTAATGGCCCTAAAGGTAATGTGTTATAGTGCTTGGCTTTATATTCTTCCTTTAATCTGCTGACCACCCCTCGGTCTCTCCCTAGATGTAGGGTTTTTTTCTGTGTGTAGCTTTTGTTACTGCATGACTTGGCGTTAAATTTTGAAAATTATTCTGCTGCCCACTTATATACCACTTTAAAACCATAGTAAAGTGAAAAATGTGCAATGTGCCTACAGGCCAGAGATATTCCTCTGTGTATATCATCTAAATGTTTGTTTACTGGCTGAGTCCCTAAGAAGACACTTCAGCTTTAGAGTCCTTGTACTTCACACATTAATGACAATGCATTCTTTCTTCCTTTTGTCTGGCCAGAACAGTAACTCTTGATCTAAATACTAGTGAAGTAATTTTGTTCAAAACCAAATTCTCTGTCACAAACACTTGTTATTTCACTGAAACTGTAATATATGAAGTACTTTAATTTTTAGACTAT